CCACCGGTATATCGTTGGGCGGTATAGTGTTGGGCCGTTACCTCATTGACTACGGCGACGCCGCGCTCGTCGACGCCGCTCTACTCATATCTGTTTGTTGGGATCTATTGGCCGGCGCCGAGAGTCTTGAGAAGCCGGGCCTTAACTTCAAACTAAACCAACACTTGACGAGATCTCTATGCGGTATCATATCTGAGAACCGGGATATCTTCAGTACATTACCCAAAGTCAATGTCGACGACGTGTTGCTCAGCAAGAATTTGCGAGAATTTGATAGTAATTTCACAGTCAAAATGTGGGGCTTTAAAAGTGTCAAAGACTACTACTCCCAGTCAAGCCATAAGGGAAAGCTGTGTTGCATTAAACGGCCGACACTATGCGTCAATGCGGCCGACGATATGTTTGCTCCCGTTTGTGGTCAGTATTGTTATAACAATATTCGTTATGACTTTTTTCAATTATTTTGTCACTTAAAAGGAAATGTTTTATATTTGAAAAATGTTTTTGTTTTAGTTTTATTGCATTATTAGGTTATTATGGAAATAGTATTATAGAAATAAATGTTTTGTGAAAATAGGCATTAATTGCTTTCCTGTTCGCCAAACTAATTGTATTACATTTTCAATACTAAACGCAACAAATCAGTCATGCGTTGAAAATTGAGTTAATTTTTGGTTTAATGAGTTTTTTTTTGGGAAACATTTGTTGATTTGGTTATGAAATATGTAATACCTATTTATGGTATATTTTTTTCATCCAATTTGCAACAGCACTACCTGTTGATGAAGTGGAAGAGAGCAGTCACGTGGCAATGATAGTGACCTCCCGGGGCGGACACATCGGCTTTATGGAAGGTTTTCTACCAATTCTACCANCTCATTCTCGAGTGCGTTATCACAAAGTTTATGATTAAAGTTTGTAATTAAAAATAAAATATTTTCATAAATAAACTTTTGTTCAGTTATTATATCAATGATAGGAATAAACACAGAATGGGTTAACAGTTGCTTAAGAATCATAAACAGCGATAAATTGCGGTCTTTTCCGGTTTTGGTCATCAATGGTGTGATATCGTCGGTCGCCGTCAACTCAAGCACTCGTTCAACAATAGCGGCCACTCTTTCGCATTCATTTGGATCAACATTTGGGTCACTCTTTGTGTCTTTCAAATGAGTTTCCAATAAAATCAATATTTTGCGCAAAAATACCTCTTTGTCCACACATTTGACGCATTTGTCAAACAATTGGCAGAATATTTGCTCAATTATCTGTTGACAATCGGTGGTAAAGTCCTGGTTATCGGATCCAATCAAATCATACCAGAAGTCAATGTATTTGTCTGTTATTATACGCGAAACGGTTTCCGATTCACACCTTATGTCCAAACATTGGCCGCAAAACAATGGTTTGTCGGCCGAAGAAAAAGTGCCAGAAGTGACGATCGGATCACTTGTTTGCTTGAGTTTCGCCCAAATCTTATCGATTGTATAAATGGCTAAACGTTTAGACAATTGTATGAAAAGTGAATCAATGGCTGAAAGGAGTGATTGTTTGCGAATCCACTCAACAATTGGCACTCGTTTTGAATGCTTTGATTGAATAGCGTTTGAAATGAACGCAAAGTTTATTATAAACACAATTAATATGAATGAAAATAATAGCAAATAATTAGTTTGTATTGCGATTAGTATTGCGAACAAAACGCTCACAAATGCACTCAATATTACAATTAAATCCATTTTTAAACAACACTTAAAAACAAAACATTATTTTTTTCGCCAGACTTTAACATTGCATTCAATTGTCGTTTGTATTCATTTTTTGACACTTTATTAACACATGATTTCATTTGTAAACAAACTTTTTTTAACGTAAACACATTCGCAAACGATGTAACGGTAAATAGGGGTGTATTTTATATGAACTGTTATACTGTACTAAATAAGCTATAAATAGGTGTATATTATAGTTAATAATAAATTGCAAAATAAAACTATTAAATTAATTACAATCTAAGATATCAGTAATTTTGGTCATTTAATTGCAAACAATTAACAAAATTCTTGTATAAAACTTATCATCATTTGATTGTAACATATTTAGTGAACACACCTCCAGCTTATGTACAGTCAGTGCCCGTTATTAGAGATAAGCGACAAAATAATAGTTCAACAAAATATTACAATTAAACGTCGTTTCCATAGATTTAATTGAAATGTTGATTAAATTGTGACAATTAATCTCATTATGGATTTGAAATAATGAAATGGTTTTCAATAATCGCAAACTTAAGTGTAGTTTCCATAGCAAACACTTTCGCCCCAAAAACCATTGCAAAACACAATGCAATCAATGATTAGCTTATAGTAGTTTTGGTACTTTTATACACTATGAATATACTGTACGCGAGTGTAAAGTTGTGTACATAAAAGGGTCCAAAACTATTGCCGTAACCAAAAAGGCCTTAAAATATTTGTTAGCATTTTGTAATGCATTTGACGACCGCTTCAAACATCCATCCATTCATTCACTTCCCATTCATTGCATTAATCACTCGTTTAATGATTTAATTATTAAATCATTAAATCATATGTTTGTTTGAAATTAACTTTTTATGTGACAATCAAAAAGAGTCTCTCTTTTTGTATTTGTTTTATAATTGGTTTTAATTTATGTTTTAAGTGAACATTGGATTTGAGTGAAGAGTTGTGTTGAGCCGAGTGTTTGGCCGACAATATAATGTTTGACCGGTCAGTGATGTCCCGATTATCGTCGATATCCCTCTTGAGTCCGTCTTCGGCCGACTATATCACAGAAGTGTTTGAAATGGTGAGCAAATGGATGGACCAATTGGTGGCCTTTTATCTGTCAAACCCGCGCTCATTTGTGGCCATCATTTTTGCCATCATTTTTATCACTTATTACTTGAGACAAGTGGTCAGAGTATGTATTCGTTCATTCATTATATCCTTATTATATACACAACAATATATATATTTGTATAGTGAACACACCATATAATGAACATGTTTTCCTGTTATACAATACACAATCAGGCCTTTTATATGTTGTGTAATACAGTTACTAGTATTTAATGTACAATATTAGCGCCTTTAATGCCCTTAATTATAGTTTTATATCTCGTACTAAATCACTGGATCTCAGTATTAATTGAAATATAATTGCTTTTTGTATTTGATATGAAATTTACTATTTATTAATATTTGCACACATTTTCAGTGTAAACAATGAGAAAGTTTTTGAACAATATTTGTTTATTTGTGAAGCATTTTCATTAACATATTCTCTATAATTTAGCCGCTATTTAATCTGAAAATGTGTTTAAATATTGATATTTACACCATATATACAATGCTATGTTTAAATTGCTTTGTTTTCTTCACTTTTAGTCACAAATAATTAGTGAACAAAATGTTTAAATAATGATATCTTTAATGAATGTTAAGCGGAATTTGTAATAAAATTTGTGAGACTTTGTTAACACTGTTAGAGTTGGGACACCACTCAACATATGATGATATTATTGCCAATTGTTTGATAATTAATGTATTGATTGAATATATGTTCAGAAACCGGCATTTTTCTGTTCAGACGGAAAGTTTCGGTGGTTTTTATTGGCAAATGTGGACAAAATACAAGAGAAATATTGGCCACCGATTTGGGCCATTCAGACACACGTTCAGACAGCTCTGGCCAACTATCTTCGCGGCCGACTCCCGGACCTAACATATCGGAGGTATGTTTTTGTATATATTATAATGTATTTAATGTGTAATTGGTTTTGAACACGAAATTTCAATTTTGATAAATCTATTTATAAGTCGAAAATTTTATTTTTGTCGGATAATTATTTTTATGACATATTTATTGATCGTTTGAATAAATGTTAGAATAAAATGATATAATATATGAATATTAATGCATTTATTTCGTTAATCTTTATTTGATGATTGGATTTGTACTGAAATTACAATATTTTTGCAATTATTCAATAATTAGGAAATAGATTTTTTGGTTTTCATGAATCACTGCCTTTACTCTACACTTCACTATACTGTATGTGATATGTATTACAAAACGCCTGATTCCGATGAAAAGCGATTTTTATTTAATATTCCGTTAATTTAATGCATCCTTAGATAAAATTTTCTGTACGTGAAGAGCAAAGTCCTATATGTTATGAATTGTTGAGATTATTTTAAGTTAAGAATCTTGGTTACAAAGTCTGAAACATGGTTTCAAATATTCATTATAATAATTATCGAAATTATTTAATAAATTAGTTGCAAGTATTTTGGACTTTGACTTTTGTTGCCATTACTGAAGTGTTGAGAAATTAATGAGATTCTAATCTATTGAAAGCTTTCTTTATTTGAATTGATTATAATTTACTGTTTGACTGATTCAGAGAAAATATCTGGACGTCAGACGGAGGGCTCATATCAATCGATTGGTACGAACCCGAGGGTGAAAAGTGTGGCGCCGAACCGGTGGCCAGCAGTTCCAACACATTCTCTGATGAGGCCAAACCCATCGCACTATTCCTGCCCGGATTGACGGGTGACTCGCAAACAGAATATGTTAAGAGTATGGTTCCGGTGGCCCACGAAGCCGGCTATAGGTCTGTGGTGTTTAACAACAGAGGCCGCGGAAACATGAAACTATTAACGCCTCGGTTCTACTGCGCGGCCAACTACGAGGACCTGAAGTTAGCGCTCGAACACATTCGCCGCCAGAATCCCGACTCGAAAATAGTGGCCACCGGTATATCGTTGGGCGGTATAGTGTTGGGCCGTTACCTCATTGACTACGGCGACGCCGCGCTCGTCGACGCCGCTCTACTCATATCTGTTTGTTGGGATCTATTGGCCGGCGCCGAGAGTCTCGAGAAGCCGGGCCTTAACTTTAAACTAAACCAACACTTGACGAGATCTCTATGCGGTATCATATCTGAGAACCGGGATATCTTCAGTACATTACCCAAAGTCAATGTCGACGACGTGTTGCTCAGCAAGAATTTGCGCGAATTTGATAGTAATTTCACAGTCAAAATGTGGGGCTTTAAAAGTGTCAAAGACTACTACTCCCAGTCAAGCCATAAGGGAAAGCTCTGTTGCATTAAACGGCCGACACTATGCGTCAATGCGGCCGACGATATGTTTGCTCCCGTTTGTGGTCAGTATTATTATAACACTATTCGTTATGACTTTTTTCAATTATTTTGTCACTTAAAAGGAAATGTTTTATATTTGAAAAATGTTTTTGTTTTAGTTTTAGTTTTATTGCATTATTAGGTTATTATGGAAATAGTATTATAGAAATGAATGTTTTGTGAAAATAGGCATTAATTGCTTTCCTGTTCGCCAAACTAATTGTATTACATTTTCAATACTAAACGCAACAAATCAGTCATGCGTTGAAAATTGAGATAATTTTTGGTTTAATGAGTTTTTTTGGGAAACATTTGTTGATTTGGTTATGAAATATGTAATACCTATTTATGGTATATTTTTTCATCCAATTTGCAACAGCACTACCTGTTGATGAAGTGGAAGAGAGCAGTCACGTGGCAATGATAGTGACCTCCCGGGGCGGACACATCGGCTTTATGGAAGGTTTTCTACCAATTCTACCATTTTTTACGGAAAAACTTTTACACCAATACTTGCGTTCACTCTATAAGCTAAAGGACATCCGAAGAGATTTAATTTATTGAAACGTAATCCTAAATGTTTTCAGTTTTACTTTGTTTTTAACTAATTTTACGCAAAAGAAAACAAGAATCGAATTCTTAATGTGATAATCATATATATATGTTATAAATATATTACTAAACTATTAATTATTTTTAGATCAGAGATTCCGTTTTGACTTTCATTGCTATTTCAATGTAAAAAATATTTTAGTCTTAATAATAATAAAAAGTCTCGTAAATCAATCGCTCACTTACTTATTGAATGTGTTATGCATTAAAAATGATTAAATTCTCTATTATTAAACAAACAAACCATAGGTTGCGATAAATATTTATTTTATTTCCTTTCCAAACATTGTTTAAGAAACTTTTTGTCATATTTTCTATTGATTTTCTCATAAATGATTTTTTGCTACAAAATATGCCATTCATTTAGAAAATAGTTTTTATGTGCTTTGAATAGAGAGTGAAAAACAGACTCTCTATTAAAATATGAATTGTATGTATGTTTACCTTATATGCTATGAATATGTTATGGAATTATTATTGTTATTATTATGACTGAGGCATATGTTATAGCGATTCGTGTGAACGCATATCATTTGCTGGTGTTTTCGCTTTTAATTGTGTGCATCACTTCTTTGCCGGCATTTCAGTCATACTTTAAGCCATTTTTTCAACACTTTGCAAACAAATTGTGTTTTTTATGCACTTATCTCATCAAACTATAGGTGTTTTGTAGTTATTTGCAAATAATTGTTACTATATTTCAAACGATACGTGAAATGTAATTGCATTCGTGTGTAGAAACGTGTGCTAAACCATACGGAATATTCACTATAGGATTTCCAGTAATGCCTGTAATAATTGCACTTTTATGCTATTGAAACACTTTTCCCTATGACTTAGCCATTAGGTCGTGACAATCAAACCTAATCTCGCATTTAACCCAAAAGTTTGTCTAATTTAAGCGTGAATTTCAAAAATTGACGACAATTTGAATGAATGCAAGAATTTCTGGTCATTTCAATAATCGCTGAACGCTTTAACCAGAGTTTGCGAAACCATTGTATGGTTTATATGCCGTTTGGCGGCGCTATTACTCGTCCAGAATTGCATTATAGCTGCGGAACCGCACAAATATAACGTTACGGTTTGTCATTAAAAGCCGACCCCTCGTAACCTTTGAGTGTTTTTTAGCCGTTTTTGATAACGATTTGCAACAAAACGCTTATAAATGCCTTTCCATACGTAATGCCTGACGAGTACTGTTGTGTTGAGTGTATTATTGTGTGATATATAGCGAAAGTGTTTGTGTTTTTGACATCTCTTTGAAGATTAGACGCAAAGAAATGGCATAAAAGCGAAGACACGAAGAGTCGGATCAATTGAATGGTAATAATTGGTGTTATGGGCGACACTCGACCCAACAGACAGACCTATCATCAAACAGACCTCCCGTTACCCGAACTCATCGGTGCGTCCGATATATTGACTGAAGAGCTCCGCAAAAAGGTCTGCAAATATATGGCAATCAATCACTTGTTATAAGCCATTGATTTTGTCAATGCATTCACTGATTGTCTTCCCGTAACTCATATATCGATACCATTTGCTCATTATTTTGTTGCTTTCCTCCCGAACCCCAATCCGTACTCTTTGTGGCCACAGCTGTGTCGACACCTTCCGGCCCGCGCCGAGGGGTACTCGTGGTCACTGATCTACAGCTCCGCCAAACATGGCTTCAGTCTGAAGACACTGTACCGCGAGATGAATAAGTTTGAGAGTCCCGTCCTTATGGTGATTGAGGACACCTTCGGCACAGTAAGTGATTCTTTGCATTCATTGCTTTCATTGGAAAAGCTTTGCGTATTTACCGTCTCATTGGATGACTTGATCCCAATTTGTTCGCACATTTGCCACAACTAAACACAATTCACGTTTAGGTTTTTGGTGCACTCATATCGTGTTGCCTACGAGTGAGTGAACACTTCTACGGTACGGGCGAAACGTTTTTGTTTACATTCGGTGTTGAGGGACGGCTACAGGTGTTCCCGTGGACGGGAGAGAACCTGTTCTTCGTGAAGGGCGACCAAAACAGTATATCGTTCGGCGCCGGAGAGTAAGTGTCCATAAAAAGAGCCGACGGCTGTGTGCGGACGGCCGACTGGTGTGTGGATGAGAAACATATGTTAACAGTGTTTGTATGTGTTTAGCGGTAACTTTGGTCTCTGGCTCGACGGTGACCTCTTCCACGGCCGCTCCCATCCGTGCAAAACCTTCGGAAACCCCAGTCTTTCCATTGAAGAGGACTTTGTTGTGAAAGCGCTCGAGTGTTGGGCTTTTGTTTGAGAATCAATCTCATCGTTATATACACTACTAATTGAGACTCATTTAGGATTTCGCAAAAACAATACTTCAATTCCAACGCATTTCTCAAACAATTCATTAATAACTCAAACGAAAGCGAAAACAAGCGTTTAATACAAATGTCAATCTCTGGGCTATTGAATGGATTTATTGCCGGAATCCGTATATATTTTTCTATAGATTCCAAACAAAACTAATTATATATTATATTAACTATTAGTGGGAAGAATATTATGGTTAATATTATTGTTAACTACTAGTCATTAATGTTAGACAAGAAGAGATACCTTAAAATGTTTACGAATTGTCAAATGAATTGTTATTTTATGATAAAAACGGACATCAATTGTGAGCTTCACTCATGAAGAATAATCTATTGAAAAACAATCCATTTTTGGTGCTATAAAACCAATGAATACAAAATACAGTTCACAAAAAACCGATGATATGTTTTTTACATATAATTTGCATATATTTATAGAAGAGTTTGGTTTTGTTGTTGTGTTAAACGAGTGAACGCTAAACAACGCTTACAAATGACTATTTATTTAATGATTAATACATTTTTGTTGTGAATTAAACGTGGAATCGATTTATGCGATGATTTGTTTTTGTCAATCAAAACGAGTGAACGAAATGACAATGAAATGGATTAATAAATCGATTCCACAACTGATGGCAATCATCCAAAAACATAATACAAAATACAACACAAATATATATTCAAATTAATCATAAGATTTCAAAGTATTTCAAATACGAAGAGGAATATTAACCGTCCGTTTGAAAGGGCGGCCAAATTGTGTTCAAATGAATGGCAAA